ACATGCTCCCCACCCCCATCCCCAGTGTGGATCAGTATCCTCATATTAGAGAAAACATTCAGCATTTGTTTTTTTTGGGGGGGATTGGCTCACTTCACTTAGCATAATATTCTCCAACTCCATCCATTTACCTGCAAATGCCATGATTTTATTTTCTTTTAATGCTGAATAATATTCCATTATGTATATATACCACATTTTCTTTATCCATTCATCTACTGAAGGGCATCTAGGTTGATTCCACAGTTTAGCTATTGTGAATTGTGCTGCTACAAGCATCAATGTGGTTGTGTTACTATAGTGTGTGGTTTTTCAGTTCTTTGGGTATAAACCACGGAGTGGGATAGCTGGGTCAAATGGTGGTTCCATTCCCAGTTTTCCAAGGACTCTCCATATTACTTTCCATATTGGCTACACCAATTTGCAGTCCCACCAGCAGTGTATGAGTGTGCCTTTCTCCATGGGAGGTATTTCTATCTTGTTTTCTCTTTGTCAATGTCTTTCTTCAGTGATCTATAACTTTCATTGTAGAGGTCTTTAACCTTTAGTTAGATTAATAAAACTATTGTGAATGGGATGGTTTTCCTGATTTTTTTATGACTAGATTTATTATTAGTACATAGAAAAGCAACTGATTTTTGTTGGTGGATTTTATAACCCTAGTTTATTAGTTCTAGCTATGTTCTGATGGAGGTTTTCCCATCGTCAAAAGATAGGCTCATATCATCTACTAACAGTGATAATTTGACTTTTTTCCTTTTCCATTTTTACTCCTTTTGTTTTTTCTCTTGCCCAGTTTCTCTGGCTAGAATTTCTAGTATTATATTGAATAGGAGTGATGAGAGGAAACAGCCTTGTCTTGTTCCTGATTTTAAAGGAAATGCTTTCAGCTTTTCCCCATTCTCAATGATGTTGGCTTTGGGTTTGCCATAGACTATATGTCTTTTGGTATTAAGGTAAGTTCCTTCTATTTCTAGTTTCTTCAGTGCTATTTTTTTTTTTTCATGAGTGGAAGCCAAATTTTGTTGATGGTTTTCTTTACATCTATTGAGATTGCTATGTGATTTTTGTCCTAAATTCTCTTCATGTGATGAATTACATTTATTGTTTCATGTAGTTTAAATCACCCTTGCAACCCTGGAATAAAACCAACTTGGTCATAATGTTCACTCTTCTTAATACATTGTTGGATATGATTTGCTAATATTATATTAAGGATTTTTGCACCCAAGTTCATCAGAGATTTTTTCTTTAGTATGTACTCACCCAACTTTATAGAATAAATTTGGATATGTTCCACCCCTTTCTACTTCATGAAATAATTTGAAGAGCATAGACATTTGCTCGTCTTTAAAGATCTGGTAGAATTCTGCTGAGAATTCATCTGGTCTGGACTTTTGGAGTCTTTTTATTATAAGCTTATATTTCATTGCTAGTTATTAGTCTGTTTGGGTTTTCTGTGTCCTCTTGATTCAATTTTGGCAGGTCATAAGTATTCATTTCTTCTAGGTTATCATAGAGAGACATTTATTAATTCCTGCCATTTTGATTTATTTCTAATGTTTAATTTGGTGCTGTGTCTCATTTGATTAATTATTCTTCAAGCGAGATTTGTCCATTTGTGAGCTCTGGCATTTGTTTTTGATTTCTTCTGTGTGTAGTATTTCTTTAAGTATTTTCTGTGGTGCCTATTAGTCATCATGAATTCTTTTAGTTTCAGCTTGTCTTAGAGGGTTTTTCTTTCCTCCTCAATTCTGAAGGATGGATAGCTTTGCTGTTTACAGCAATCTTGGTTGACAATTATTTTGTTTCAGGTCTTGGAACATATTATTATAAACTCACTTTTCAGCAATCTAGATTTGGACCCCTTGTAGAGTATCAACACTCTTTTTGTTCTCTTTTTATTTTAATTAATTAATTTTTTTTTTTGTTGCTGTAGCAGTCAATGTTCATGAGTGAGACCTGAGGGCCCCCAGCCCCTGGCCTTCTTACTTGGATCCTGATCATTATATTGTTTTTTTTTTTAAATTTCTTCTATTCATTGTATTAAATTATCATTGAAGTTTGAGCATGTTTAGTTTGTGTGTCAACAACTGTCAACAGCAAAAATAATACATAACTATGAACTAGATGTAGCATTATGGTAAGCAATTAGTGTCAACTATACCATCTACCATACCAATAACAGAAACAACATGAACTGGGGGTAGCAATTTTATAAACCAAATAGTCCTAAAAGATGGCAAAAATATAATTCATTAAGAGAAAAGAAAATGTGATAGGAAGGTACAAGAAAGTTTAGAATATTCAAATGTGAAGAGAAAGAAAGCAGAAAAGATGTAACAAATGATAGCTATAAAGAAAAAGGAGAAAAATAAAAGAAGAAAAGCAAGTAAAGAGAGCGTGAACGTAAGAACAAGAGAATTTGGCTATTAGAAGGGGAAGAAAGGAGAGAGATCAACAAGAAAAACAAACAAATAAAAAAACCCAAAAAGCCAAAATAAATGAACCCCAAAACCCCCAAACCTCAAAAAAAAAGATAAAGAAAAACAATAATCATGGAAAATGCTAAGAATAAGAAAAAAGAGATAGTATGTATACACATAAATATCTAGGAACCAATCGGCACAGCAAGAACACTAAAAAGAATTTTAAAAGGCAGGGGGTGGAGGGGATACTTAATGCAAAAGAATTGTCTCCACTACATGGAAAAAACTTTCAATAAAAAACTTTCAATGGTATGAATTTCCAAGATCATTGTAATGTCATGTGAAGCTAAAAAAAAAAAAAAAAAAAACTTTCAATGTATGTTCACTGCCTGTGTCCTCCTGTACTTTATTCTTGGGCTATGTACCCATTAGAGAAAGCAAAGGCTGGGAGTTGTTAAACACTTCTTTTTGTGTTGAACCCCAAGTTGCCAGCTGGAGTGGCTTAAAGCTGAAGCTGGTTGAAACAGCATTCAGTTTTTTTTTTGTTTGTTTGTTTTTATTTTTTTTCTCACCAGTATAAGGCAGGATAGAATGGGAAGTACCCTTGATTGGACATTTATCAGGACAAACCAGATTGATATACTCCCAGGGTGGGGCTGCTGTACAATTCTAAATGGGAAGTTTCAGAAGCTAGGACTTAGCTCTGATCAGGCCTTTGGGACTATTTTGGGTGGTGTCTGCTCTGGAGAGATTACATTAACCCACCCACAGGGCTGGGTAGATGACAGTTTCTGCTGAGCATCTGTATCTCAGGAGTATTCCCAGAACAGTATTGATAGGGTAGGGGAGCCAACCTTCTGAGTTTCACATACCACCACCCATGAATATGGCCTTTCCAGGTCCGGTCCCCAATGCAATCATGCCCACCTGTTCAGTTTTCTGGCTGTTTTTTTTTTTTTAAGCTGGTCATGTGAGCTGCCAAACACCAAGGGAAAGCAAGTTGCATTTCTCTCCCTATCTCTGACTTAAATCCCACTAGATAAATCTTCTCTGTGCCTGTTTCAATTGTGTTCTGGAAGGCACACCTTCAGATGTATGGCAGGTGCTTTCCAGAACAGTATATTTGCTGTGCTCTCCAGGATTTCTACAGCACCAAGCTGCAACCTGTGGCTCTTGCTTCACTCTCCACTTACCAGTTGAGAAACACTAGCTCACGGGTGCAACCTCCAGTTCATTTAAGTTCAGACTGCTTTTCTGTCCTACGGGATTTTCCATGCCAAATTTGTCCACTGTTTTTCTGCCTGTGCTTGTTTTATTTCTCCCCTCTGTGGTGAACCAGTGCTGCTGCCACTGCAACAATTAGCTTGGCCCTAATTTACTCCCCACCCCCCTTTGTTCAATGCAGCCAAATTTCAGAGTCCTTAGATTCTCTGTCTGATATTGAATTTCAGTGAATTCCTACTTTCACCCATCTCACTGAGGAACAACACTCCTGCTGTATGAACTCCCAGCCAGGCAACAACTGCAAATGTAACCTTAGCTTTTCTCTACTCTGTATTCCACCATCTTGACTTCTCCCTTAGGGGGCTGTGTATTGCAGGAACACAGGTCTGGACTCATACAAAGAAGCAAAGCTACCAATTTCAAATCCCATCATAACTGGTGTTAGCCATGTTTTGCTGGGTCTGGTGAAGAGAGAGGACATTCTACCCTGCTAACTTATGTCTACAACATCTACCATGGGGCAAGGACAGGGCCTTCATGATAGAATCAAGCAGAAATTATTGATAATTTTAAAACGTTCAAAACATATTATATAAATGTAATTAATATAAAAATGTTTTTAAGAAAAGAGAAGGTAAATATTTATCATTAAAAAACTTTTGAATTGTCTTCTCATAAATCAGTGAAGCCAAATACCATTTTAATTTTATCTCTCATAAGATATAGTATTATAGTCATAGTATATCTCAATCACTATTTGATTATTTGATTAATTTATTATGTAAGTTTTCAGAAGTGACCCAAAAAGAAGTTTGAAAAACTATGTAGTTTTATATGTGTGACTTTTTTTTTTTCTTAAAATAAAAAATATCCAAATGATCTTTAAATGATCTTTAAGTTTCTAATAGTTTATCATTCCTAAATCTAATTTTAAAAAGTAAGTTTTACAACATGGGGTACATTATTGCTTGAGAAAGTTGTGCTATTCTTGTTTTCTTAGTTGGTCACCAGAGCTGGCTTGTCCTCTTGGGTAGGTTTTGAAGTAATGAATTATGGAAATGTTAAATGTCATTGGATGGGTACTTTGATGCTTTCAAGAGTCTGTGGTTTGTTAGTTATTCAGATTATCTGGAAATCCGTCTCCCCTTTGCTCGAGAAAACAATTCTGTTTTTTGCACATGTTCCTTTTTGCCATACTCAAACATTTGGGAAATGGAAATAGGGAAGCAGTTAGCTTCTTAGAAAAACTATAGATGAATGGAACAGGAACTGCAAAATTAGCAAAATGTAACAGAAACTGTTGATCTGGTGCATTATTGCTTTGCTTATTTTTTTCTCCTTTGCTAGGAGACCCGTTCTGATGATGTGTGTAGTACTCACCACCCTTCCCAGCTTCAGCTTTTCTATAGCAGTGACTGAGGTATGGAATTTTGATTTCTTCTGCTGCAAGGTTTTGAAATTTAAAAAGTTTCCTGTTATTGGAATTTGATTGAGCAGCATACCCCCACAAAAATTGTGTAAAGCTTATGTAATCTAGTCTTCTTCCAAATGACAATATATATTTTTTTAAGTAATGAGATAATTGTTACCTCTGTTATTGTAGAGGAAAGTTTAACATTTAATTCTGTTCTAAATGGAAAACGACAAGGTCCAGATGAATAACCTCTTACACGCTAAGATCTTTATTAAGATATCCGTGCTGGACATAGTGAGGCACACCTATAATCCCAGTGACTCAGGAGGACCTCAGGTTTGAAGCCAGCCTCAGCAACTTAGCGAGGCTATAAGCAACCCAGTGAGACCCTCCCTCAAAATAAAAAAAGTAAATATAAAGGGCTGGGTATGTGGCTTAGTGGTTAAGTGAACTTGGGCTCAATTCCTGGGGGAAATAAAAATGAAAAAAAAAAAAAAGATATCCCTGGGAAATGCTTTGCATATGACGTCTACTTAAAAATAACATTATGTTTTGACTAAATATGGCTTCAAAAGGGACTTAAATGGGCATCCACAAGTAGGAATATTGTAGGTACTACAATATTGTAGGTGGACATTTTATTATCCAAGAAGGTCAAAGAGGAATGTTCCACTAATCTTACTAATTTGCAAGTTGTTGAGAAATAGGAAGGGAGTAACTTGGGAGATTTCCAAGAGCTTTACAAATTCACTTTACAACCTCCAAGGAAAACTACTCTAGTAAAATGCTGTTATATCTGGAGTTTTATGGCCCTTTTTGGTTCATTTCTATGATCTATCTATCGCCCCCTGTTACCTATTTTTCTTTCCTCTTTTTCTTATATTTTCACTGAGGTGTAACAAACAAAAATGTTCACAAAGCATAAATGTACCATAGTGAGTGCAAACACTACTGAGGTCAAGAAATAAAACTGAGCCCGCTCCAAACCATGCTCCTCTCAATGAGGACCTTTCCTTCCTCCCCAAAGGTAACTTCTACCTTAACTTCTACCTCATAAGTTTGCCTCTTTTTAAATTATTTTTTTAATGGAAAATCAAATTATATGTCCTATATATGTAAATGGACATATGATCTGTCTATATTATCATGTGACATATATATATGATTTTATATGTAACATAAATCATGACTGTCTTCTTTTATTCAAAAGTATGATTGTGAAAGTCATTCTTTTTTTAAATATATTTTTTATTAGAGAATCATAATTGTCATAATTATACATAGTAATCGAGTCATCCATTTTTTAAATGTAGCTGTAGTTCATTGCTATTCACTGTTTCATTTCATGAAGATATTACAGTTGGCTACATGCAATGGCACATGCCTGTAATCCCAGCAGCTCAGGAGGCTGAGGCACAAGGATTGCAAGTTCAAAGCCAGCCTCAGAACTTAGTGAGGTGCTAAGCAACTCAGTGAGACCCTCTCTCTAAATAAAATACAAAAAAGGGCTGGGAATGTGCTAAGTGGTTAAGTGCTCCTGAATCCTTTAGCCAGTACCAAAAAAAAAAAAAAAAAGATATTACAGTTAATAAATGAATGAATGAAAACATAACATAGTTGTTCTGGGCATCACAGACAAGCCCAGTCCAATATTTCAAATTATTTATCAGTTCTACATTTGATGTTCATTTCAGTTGTTTCCAGTTTTGGCCATTAAAAATAATTCCGCTGTACACATCCTAAACAAGTCTTTTATACACATGAGCCATATTTCATTTGGTTAAATTCATAGAAGTAGACCTGATGAGTCATAAGATATTCAAGTGTTTAATTGTCAACAACTAGTGCCAAACTAGTTTCCAAAGAGATTTTTACAGTACAGAACCCACTAACAAAGAATGAGCGTTCCTATTGCTATGCATGCTTACCAACACTTGAGTTGATTTGAAAGTGTCTTTTACATAGATTACAATGCCCTTGTTGGTTATGTTTTGTGCTCTTGACTTCCCTTCATACTCTTACTGATATCTTTTGAAGAACAGAAGTTCCTAACTCAAAAACAGACCATTTATCAGTTTATTTTCTTTATGAATAAAGCTTCTGGTCACATATTTGAGAAGATTTTGTTGTACTGTAAATCTGAACCTCAAAATCATAAACACATTCCACCATCTTACATTTTAGAGGCTGTGTTGCTTTTCCATTCTCTTTTGGACTGACATTCCCTCTGGAACTGATTTTTGTATATGTTGTGTACTTGAGAGCCAAATTTTATTTTATTTTTTCCAAATAACATCCAATGAACTAAGCACCAACTAGTAAAAAGCCCATCCTTCCCACATTTCTCTGTAGTCTTGGCTTTGATATAAGATGCACATACACATAACCTGGGAGTTTTAGGCTGTCTGATCTGTCACATTGCCTGCTTTTTAATTCCTGTGCCAACAAACACCACACTGTCTTCATTCTTATAGCTTTATAATGGTTCTGCATACCCAGAAGAGCAAATTGTCCTATCTTCTTTTTCTTCTGGAATTTCTTTCCCTTTGTATTTCCACATAAATTTTAAGAATGCTTGTTATTTTCCACAAAAATTCAAGTAGCATTTGAATTTGCATTGAATGATATCATTTTCTCAAAAGTCTCATATTTAACTCTTTGTCATTGGTATTTAGAAATATTTCATCCATTTTGAAGAATTTTCTCCATATATAATCATCTAGTCCATAAATAATGATACTATTTTTCTTCATTTTCAGTACTTAACCTGTATATTTTTTTTCTCTAATTACACTGGCTAAGGCCTCCAATACAATGCTGTATAGAAATGGTTATGGTAGCATCTGAGAGGGAAAACCTTCAACATTTCACCATTAATATGATGCTTGCTAAGGGCTTTTTCTAGGTACCTTTTCTGCAGATTAAGGAAGAAAGCCAAGTTGTGTTCACCTGGGCTCTCCCTCCTTGGAAGATCTAAAAGGCCAAAAAGCTCTGTTTAGCAGTGGATTTGGAAGGATTGCCCATTCCACTATTACTGAGAACTGGCTATTATATTTTTGCACACATTTACTAAGCTTCATCTACAGTGAAGAACTCTTCCATTTATGGGAACCCTTATTCCCTCTTGGAAATGATTCAAAATCTTGTGCAGTTTAAAACTTGAGAAGCTTACAACCAAACTTTAAATTTTTCATCATATGTGTTTATAATTAATTTATCACTGTTAGCAGAGTATTAAAAGAATTTTGAATAAAGAAAGAACAACCAGGGCTGGGGTTGTGGCTCAGTGGTACAGCCCTTGCCTAGCATGTGTGAGGCACTGGGTTCGATCCTCAGCACCACATAAAAATAAATAAATCAAATAAAGGTATTGTGTTTATCTACAACCAAAAAAAAAAAAAAAAAAAAGCACAATCATTGAATGAGTCTAATTGATTTTCTAAAAACAGGTTCAAAAGAACATCAATGGCTCTGCAGATTTATTGCCTGATGCCTTACCTGATCTCCCAGTATCCCTGGTTCTGTTATCCTTGATCTTGGTTGATATTATTGAAAAAATCAGGATATATCCCCTCAGAGGAAGTGAAGAGAGTAAGTATTCTCCTGAATATAAATATTTTTAAAAGTTTGATATATCTTTTATCTTTCTGCTACTCTGTTTTCTGATGGTATGTTCCATGATTCCATTTCTTGGGGTTAACATTACTGATAAAGGATTGAAAATGAAGATATCTGAACAAAACGATTTTTAAACCTCCTTTCATAGTCAGTTATTTCTTGTTTGCATTTTGGTAGTACTGATAAATAAATAAATTTTGCCAAATATTTAATGCTAAAAACTTTAGTGGTTATCCTAGCAAGGAAATTATCTAGTTCTTAAAGATTTATATTTTTTTTCTAGGAACTGTCTTAAATCTTTAAGTTTAGATGAATTAATTTGCTATGGAAATTATTATGACTATTACAGTAATGTCCTAAAGAATTATGTGTTTTTAGTTGTGGATTATACAAAAATCAAAGATCGCACTAATAAAACCAAGATACACCATATTCCTCCAGAGTGATTCAGTTGTTTATTCAGTCATAAATTCCTTTAGCTTACATTTAATTTCATGTCATAGTTTGTATAATATTTTATTGCTTGGCTGAGATTTTGTCATGTTATGCATTTGAAATCGGCACATATTGTAAGATCACTTCCTGATGGGATGGATAGAATGAGCTATAGAAGCATGCTTCAGAGTGACAGGTAACTACTAGAGCCAGTCAATCATTTATGGGTTGGGCACCACCAACCACCCTTTCAGTATTTCTTGAATCACAAAATGAAAGCAAAACTGACTTGGAGGCCATCAGGAATTCTGAGCCTCTCATTTTGCACTTTGTTCTTAGGTGGGAGACGATGAGCTGTTATACTTAAAATGACACAGGTGACAAGGAAGTAAGATGGCAGTCAGCCTCTCTCTCCTCCATTGAGGAAAAACCACTCTCAATTACACCTGTTCTCCAGAGCCAAGTGTATTTGTCTTAAACTGAAGAGATTTGGGAATATATAAATCCTTTAATTCATCTCTTGACTCTTTAAAACCACAAATGTATTTTGAAAGCAGACTGTGATGACTGTGTTTTCTGTTGAAGTGAAAATTCTGTTTTTTAAAACGCACATTTTTGGTGAGGAGAATAAATTAATGGCATTTTATTTCAGTTAGTGATGAATTGGAGCTTTAAAGGGGATTTTTCTCTGTATCCAGCAGTAAGGATGACTGTGGGAATCAAAATAAAGGATTTCAAAGAAGTTGGTCTTGGAGAAGACTCCAGAACATCTTATACAATTGATTTTTATTTTAAGATGCTTCTTTTTGAGCTCTTTTTTGCCCAAATGTAGAGGGTTAATTATATATGGTTTAATAGTTCCACCAAAAAAACTAACATTTTAAAAAATACCTTTGTAAATATTAAGGGTACATACATACACATTTTGATGCAAACTTTTAACTCAGTCTCCTACACATTTTAACATGCATGTTACTATAATAAATTATGTGAATTTTTAATTCATGGGGTATTGCCATTTATCCCCTGGGACTTAACTTAATAATTAAAAACATTAAGATATAAATCTTGGGTGGGTACCAGGGATTGAACTCCCAACAACAACAACAACAAAAAGATATAAGAGATTATTTCAATAATTTTGTATTTGTTTGGACTGGTCTTGTGGCCTAAAATATAATGTACTTGGGAAAAAGTTTTATGGGCAGCTGAAAATATATATTTATCTATTGTTTTTTTACAATATTCTGTAGATATCAAGTCCACTTTACAGTATCTTTTAAACATAGGTAAAAACAGGGCTAATTTTTGCAACTGAAAGCTAAATGATATCATGTATAATTAGTATCTCATGATCACAATGCATTTGGAATAATCACCATGGCAAACCTGTGGATATTGGATTTTGAGAGAGCAGAATTAGAAATAAAATGATCCAACAACAACAACAACAAAAGATACAAAACTTAATACATAGATTGGAACCTAAGCAAGTATACTCTAAATATAGTATTATTCCATGTAGGACTTCAGAATCAAAGAAATGGGGTGTGAATGGATGGTGAATAAGGTTTAGACAATTTGGGAAAAGTAAGAACGTTCTGTGCTCTATTTAGATAATTTGAAATACATACATATCAATTAGTTTGTGGAAGTCTGGACTTTATACTATATCAAACTAAGGTAGACTAAAATGCTTGGATTTATGAACATTTATATCCTCCTTACTAACTTAATTCAAAGCTACAAAATTTTGATCTTTGTGTATCTTTTCTTTTTCCAAGTCTTAAATAAAATTATTCTTTACATTATTTTATGTATGAAATATGGAATAGAAAGTTTCCCATTTGAAACACCAATATTACCATTGGAAATACCTCTATATCAATTGATTGCCGTGTCACAGTTTCTGAACACATCCTTTTGTGTCTGTGATAATATCACAGATATACATAGGCCTGAATAATATCAATCCCAAGTGATATAAACAGATGACAAGAATAAAATTATAGTTTGACTGTTCCCCCCTTACTGGTCTGTGGATACAAATGTGTGCACCTTAATATTTCCATCTCAAGTTTGCTAGCTGAGTTCCAACCTTTTAAAGACAGGACCTGCACCTCCTCTTCCTCTCCCATCTTGTTCCTGTTCCTAATTTAAAACCAGATCCGTGGTGGGTCTCTTCTGTTCTCATGTGTTGGTTAAGGCTATTGGACATCCAGTTGCTCCTGCTTTACTATTAGCTGCCCCTCTGGGGCACAGAGTCCCGTGTGCTGCTTCCCACCATGCCTGCTGTTCCCTGCCCTAAACATGATTAGTCCTGTGGTTGTCTTTGGGATATGACTTGATGCCCTGTGGTGCTTTAATAGACTGATTACAGCTGCCAGTTAGAATATTGACTTCAATCCACTGAATTCTATTTTTCTGGAGATGTTTAGAGACTTCTTTTGTTTGGAAACACAGTCTTTTATCCCCAGAATGTACATGTATCAACAGTTTGCCTGTCGATTTCAAATAATGGCCCTTCTTTTCCACTGGGAACTGCCGCTGTCCTATTGAGCCAGACTCCATTTTATGAGGTATCCCCCGGCCCCACACCCCCCCCCCACCCCCGGCTCCATGGGGGACTCATACTTTCTCCTTACACGAGGATTCCCTATATTGTCTGAACCTGTAATCATGGTCATTATTTGATTCTTCTCCCCTGCCACTACCTAGATTCCTCAACCCCCCTATAAACCAGCAGATACAAACAGATCCATCATGAAGGTATGTCCATGGCTAGGAGTTTTCAATCCTACCTGTGGGACTTCCTTAAACAGTATTCATAGTCCAGCTTGGACACCACGTTACAAAATGGTATAAGAGAAGATATAGTTAAACTACTATGGGGCTATAGGGGAAGAAACGCTTAATTTTTCTCTACAGTGTTAGAGGTCAGTGTTAGAAAGGACAATAGTAGGGATCTGGGGTTTGTAGGAGTTGTAGATGAACACGGTGAAGAAAGTTTTTGACATCAGAGGATGGTTACACCTTAAGGAACTCAGGTGTACATATAGGTGAAAGGGTGTGTTTGGGAAGTACAAATAACTTCAGCTGGATTTCACACCCTGAATCAACAAAACTGTTGCCACAGTGGAAATGACTTTCTTAAAATAAATTGCTACTTGCTTATCAAGTTGTCATTTGGAAACCTATGAGGCTGCTTTCGGGAGCTGCTATGAAAACCTGGGTAGAAGGTAATAGTGGAAGTGGGAGAGGTTGAATTGGGGTCTCTAGAGGATCCAATTTCTACTTCAACCAGATTAGGAATGATAAGTAAGATTTCACCTGAAATACAAATGCTAAATATTTTAAAACCAATACTCTAAGGCCTTCATTTAGAACTGCTGTACTCATTTCTAGAGTAGTGGTCAACTCTTTTCCTCTCTAGGTCTAGTTCTCTGGGAATTGTGACTTTGCACAGTGCTCTGGGAAAATTCAGCTTTGCTGGTAAAGTAGGCCCATCATGGTGGACTCTACAACCTCTGAGGCACAACATTTATGAAAAGCACATAAGTTTTTTAATATGCCATTTCACATTGTCTTGATTTTAGTGTCGTATTTTTTCAAAAGGATACATATCCATTTTCATAGAAATAAAAAAGGGAAGTTGACCATAATCCCATAATCTAGAGATTTATAATTAAGAGCATCTTATTGTATAGTGTTCAGTTAATGGATTTTGTAACTTTTTTTTCTTTATAATATGTAGGTAGGTGTTATTCTTGTTATTACATAATCACCCCCTGCATCATTTTTATTGGTCAAATAGTATTCCATCATGTTAGTGAACCATAATATATTTAGCTAATCCTCTGTTGTTGGACACTTAGATTTGTTCTGGGTTTTACTGTTATAAGCACTGCCACTGCCAAAGGACAAGGTATGGTTAGAATGAATGAGGCCATGTGTGTTTGAGTTGGGGAGGGGAGACAAGTTATGGTAGAGCACACTCATGTATTATAAGGCATAGGTTGTCTGGGAGCCAGAAATCACTCAGTGAGGTAACTGGCCAAAAAGAAGCTGGGGATGGAGAGAGTTAACTGCTACTGGATAAGAGCCGAATGATATCAGGATGATGACTGCAGAGTGTCCTCAAAAGACCTGGAGCATCTGCTCATGCCCAGACTTCTTGGCAACAATGCTGCCCGAAGAAAGTGACTATTATGGACTGGCTGCACATGTGGAGAGATATAGAAGGGGCCCATAAGGGGATCCTACGAACAGTACGGTGTGGTAAGAGTGATTTGGCTACATTAGAGCTCACTGCCGAGTCAGAAGTGATTTGCTGGAGATGAAGTCAACAGGCTATTTGAGTGGAAAACCTCAGCACTTGCAAAGGAGGTGGTTTCCACTGTCACATCAGTGAGAGGTGCCAGGTATGGTGTTGGCAGGGTAAAGTTTTCAAATAAATCTGCTCACAGGGGCCCGAGTCCAGTTCCTTCTGTGCAGTCTCTTTAATACCCAAAGACTTAAGCCAAGTGCTACAGGGACCT